GCAGCTCCGGCAGGAAAACGAGCTCCTGCAGAACAAGTACGGCTGGGGGGGCTGGGGAAGGGAAATCATTAATTACAGCAATAATAATGATAATAACAACCACAAGAACGAGCTCCTGCAGAACAAGTACGGCTGGGGGGGCTGGGGAAGGGAAATCATTAATTACAGCAATAATAATGATAATAACAACCACAAGAACGAGCTCCTGCAGAACAAGTACGGCTGGGGGAGGGCTGGGGGGGCTGGGGGCAGAGAAATCATTAATTACAGCAATAGTAATGATAATAACAACCACAAGAACGAGCTCCTGCAGAACAAGTACGGCTGGGGGGCTGGGGAAAGAGAAATCATTAATTACAGCAATAATAATAATAATAATAACAACAGGAATAATGACCGAGGTGTGAAAAAGGGGAAGAAATTATAATAGCCATCATACTTATTATTATCATCATCGTTATTATCCTCCTAACCACTGTAACTAGAAATAAATATTTATAAATATTAAGAAAACAAATAAAATTTATAAATTAATATTTATATTTAATATTTGTTAATAATTTATTTTATTTTATAATTTATTTATAAATAATAGGATTATTTATATATTAATAACACTGGCATTTATTTTATTAATAGTTATTAATACATATTGATTAAAATATTCATTGGTGTTAAATTATTAACAAATATTAAATATAAATATTAATTAAACCTCAACAAATAGTTTAATAAATATGTAATAATAAATATTAATAAAATAAATGCTAATGTTATTAGTATTAATAATCAGAATATAGTAATTTATATAATTTAATAGAATATAGTAATTTATATAATTTATTATAATTATCTATAATTTCATATTTATATATTAAATTATTTATATATTTATAATTTAATATTTATATATCAAATTTATATAATTTGTTATATTTGTATAATAAATTTATATAATTTATTATATTTATATTTAATATTTATATCATCTTCATTACATCTTTTTATATATTAGATATTGTATATCCATAATATATTCATTAAATATTTTAATATTTCTATTTGTCTCTTTAATATTTATATTTAATTATTTGGCTATTATCGTTATTTATATTGTTTATATTTAATGTTTATATTTAACAAGTATATATTTTATATGTTTATATAATAGAATGTATGATTATTCCATATTGTCAATATTTATATTTGTATACTCAATATTTATGTGTTTCATATTTACATTTAATTACTATTTAGCTGTTATTGTTATTATTATTATTATTTGCCCAATTCCAGGCAAATCTTGCCTGCAAATCCCCCAAGACCCGTTTGGGACCACTGACCAGTTCATTTGTGGTGAACCAAATCCCCCGTTGAATCCCCTGCTGTTCCCTTGCAGATTGCACAACGCTGTACAAATGAAACAAAAAGACAAACAAATGATCAGCCAGTTGGAGAAGAAGCTAAAGGCAGAGCAGGAGGCACGAACCTTTGTAGAAAAGCAATTAATGGAAGAGAAGAAAAGGAAGAAGTTGGAAGAAGCAACTGCTGCACGAGCTGTGGCCTTTGCTGCTGCCACGAGGTGCTTTGTGCTTTGGGGAGGCCTTTTTCACTCCTGTGGACAGAAAGGAGTAGTTTATTTCATTCTTTTCTTGAGGAAAAAAAAAAGGCTTTATTTGTGTTAAGGCAGAGGGAGGACTGGGAAATCTCTGAGCCTCAGTGCCTACATATATTACATTTGCCCATGTAATATGAATTACACAGGTGAAAAAGCTCTGAAGAGCATATTTAGAACATAATGCTCTGAGTTATCTGCTGTACCTTGGCTGTGCTGGCAGAGATGTTGTACCTGCTTGGGTCAGTCTGCTTGGGAAAAAGGAACATCTCCTTCCACGTGGGGACTGTGAATCAAGGATTTGTGCAATGGCATTGGCCAAAATACCAAGTTTAGATCCCACGCTGTGGAATGTTCCTGCTCTGGCCCAGTGGCTGCCAGTGCTTAGCACTGGGATTTTCAGCAGTCACACAGCTGTAGAGATGGGAGCGCAGCACAAGTGTGGGTGACTTTAATCTGCAGTGCTCCAAATGTCTGAAAAGAACTATTTCTGCTTTTCTCTTCTCCGTATTTCATGAATATCCTAAATTTCCTGATACTTGGTGTGTAACTCTCCCCATCGTTGCCACGAGGGGAAACCATTTTGCTGCAAAGGATAAAGTCAGCTTCCTCTTTTTGTCCTTCAAGTTTTACATTAATTTTTGTGGTATAAACAGCTGAGGAATGACAACCTTGTTCTTATTTCATCTTCCCCTCTTTTCATGTGTTTTTCTGCAGGGGAGAGTGCACTGAAACTCTACGGAATCGTATCCGGGAGCTGGAGACAGAGTGCAAGAAGTTAACAATTGACATAAAGCTGAAAGAGGATCAGATACGAGAGCTAGAAATGAAAGTTCAGGTAATGACAAAGCGCCAGGGGCTTAGATCAGCATCACAAGGAGAGCTTTCAGCCCTCCAAAATCCCAGGATCTACATAAGTGGCAATCACCACCTTCAGTAACTGTGCTGTTCAGATGTTTGTCTGGCACGTCTTGCACCAGGGTTTATCAGACAGTGGGGATGAGGAAGGTTAATTGTCTCAGCTCCACACCATTCAGTTGGTTAAATTACAGTTTTCCTCCCCAAACCCACTGGTCTGTGTAGACTGAGGATATAATCCCCTCAACAGCATTTTTTTACCTGATGCAAGGAGCTCGCTGCCAGTCTCTGTCATTATATATTCACAGATTTATTTATACAAACCTCTTTGATTCACGTGATTTATATAATTCACCATTTTATTTATACATCATTATGTAATTCACAAAGGTTCCTTGCTCAATCTGAAGCACTGGCCAGGCTTTTTTTGCTGGGGGGGTTAAGTGCTTCAATATTGAAAATACTTGGTGGCA